TCGCTCCCCCGGGACACAGCCACCAACCCGGGCCGGGACAGCAGCCGGCAGGACTTGGGGGCCCTCCCTGGCTCTTGGTAAGGAACACTTCCGCTATCTCAAAGTTGCCATAAGAAAATAAATACAAGTGACATTGTGCTAGGCCAAAGCTCATTAGTTCGTTGTCCAGGCCTAATAAAGGAACAGAAGCGCAAATTATAGAGTTCAGCTTCAACACACGCTCTGTCACCCGAGATCAGCGTACCGCGAGCCTGATTCCAATTGCTCCGAACTTGCTGCGCAGCTCACCCCCCCACCACGCCCCCTCCTCGCGAGCAGGAGGTTCTGTGGAAAAATATAGTTCCAAAGGGGGTAATGATCAAGCTTTTCCTCTCGGAAGCCTGCGCCACCTCATTTCCCATCAGTAATCCCAATAAAATTAACGTCGTGGCTGCAATTGAAAAGAGGAGGGCCCGCGACACTCCTGAAATAACACACTCTCCTCCAGCAAAAGGTAAAAAGCAAAACGGCCCTTTGTTCAGCTAATTAACGAAGGCCCAACTCCGAAAGCAGATGTGTTTGCTTAGCTAATCACAAGCATGTTTCTTTCAAGAAACGTCATTTCGAGGGGGTCGCTGGGGGGGGGGGATGGGAGAGGGGGACACCGACCCCCACCCTCTCTGCCTTGGGGGATCTCTCACCCCAGTCTAAGATCTAGAGGCTCTGAATCCAGGTAGCCCATCTCTCACACCTTTCTTCCCCTCGGCCCTACCCCAGAGGCCCAATCAGGCACCTCGGCGCTAGCCGGAAGGCCAGACCTGCAAGACGCGAGGGGGAAAAAAAAAAATAAAAGTTTTAATGACACAGATGCCATATTAAATGAGGCAGTTTTACAATTCACTTTGAATTGGACGCTAACTTATTACAAGTGTGTTATCAGAAGGACGATAAGATTTATAACTCCAAGAGTCAGCTTTGAGCCTTAATGACAATAGATGTTAAGGGGAGAAAATCTTTCTCTATTAAGGAGATGAGAGTCCTTTCCCCGTTTTCAGGCATTTACAGATACGTCCAAGAGGGCAGATACCAAACCCTTTGTCTCTTCATATGAAAGATTCTTGCTTTCCCATCTGACTATGAAAATGGGTCTCCTTGTTGGGTTAGCACCTCGTTAGGCTTTTTAGGGTGAGCTTGGGAGAGAAAAAAGAGAGGAGGGAAACAAGATAGAACTAGGGATGGAGATGAAGGTAGGGTGGGAGGCAGTTCTCAGCCCTCCGGTTCATGCAGTAAAACTATTTCCCCCTTTTTCTTTACCATACAAAAGATAGCATTCCCCTAAACCAACACAGTAAGCAAACTTTAAAAAACTGGGGTCCTATTACAAACCAACGCCCAGCACTAACTGCTTTAAAATTACTGCATAATTAGATTTAGTTGAATTTCACCATTAATTAGGCAGCCGCACTGCAGGGAGCCTTTGAAATCTGAGAAAATGGGAAAAATCATCTGAAGCACGTTTTTAAAACCCAACTTCAATAAATCTTGAAGAGGCCTGGAATTCAGGGTACCTCGCTCCTGTCCCAGGCGGCTGAGAGACAGGGGTCTCCAGGCCGGGGCTGGAGCTGGCATTGGACGTAGGTGGCGATTCCCTGGTTGGCCAAGAGCGGGGCCCGGCCCCATTCACTGTCTCTGCGGAGGCCCTCGGGAAGACCCTCTCTGGGAGGCCAGGTCTGTCCCACAGCCGCCTTTGCCCGCTCTCAAACCTACTACAGAAAGAGGATCCTCCCCTGCAGTCGCGCTCCTGCCAGGGGCGCAGTCCAAGCGGGCTCACACATTTCTAGTGCCTGCGACCACCCACCCGGAACCGGCCCTCGGCCCCTGCTCGCTTCCACCCCCTAACCAACCTTCCTTCCGGAAAGCCACCTTTCCTATAACTTTGACGTGCCAGCAGCAAGTTCTGCTCACGTCCGGCGGGGCTCGCGGCCAGCCCCCCTCCCCAGCTCGGCTCCGGCCCGCGCAAACCCCGGCGCAGCCCCTGCATTAATGAGCGCGAGAACTGACCGAGGTCTGTAAATACTGGCCTCTCCCCCTCCCCCTATACCATTCAAACATTTAAGATCATTTGCAGATACAGACTTTTTATTTTTCTAATTTGGTTCTTGGAGGAAGAGGAGATATGAAATCCACTCTCCTGAATATAAGCCGGGGGGAGGGGTGTAAAAAGAGGGGTAGGGTGCTGCCTTACCAATATTTTCCCTACGAATTCTGTCGCTTTAATTACAGAATAATCGAGGACCGCACTCATTTGCCAGCAAGAGTTTAAAAGAGGGTTTTCTGCCTGCACACCTAATGGTCTTCAGCCCCCCCCCCCCCCCCCCCCCTTTTTTTTTTTTTTTTTTTTTCTTTTTGGTAACCAATGTGTTTTCTATTACCCGGCCCTGCCGTGCCTGGCAGCCCGGCGCTCGCGGTGCAATGGGAGACGCCATGTTGGCTCAGCTCATAGGACCAAGTCAAAAGCGAGCTTCAAGGCAGAGTTTCACACGCTCGAGATCTCCCTGACCGCCCCCCGCCCCCGCCCCCCGCCTGTCGCCGCTTAAGGCACATCCCAGGAGTGCAGCTCCGCGCGCCCGACACCCCGGACTTTCCGGGGGCGCTGGCGGAATTCTGCCGCACGTAAGTGGGGGCGGGGGCTGGGGGGCAGGCACTTTCCTGCAGCTGCTGCCAACTCCAGGCCCCCGTCCCTGCAGCCTGCCGGATGCTAACCCAGCCGTCTCCGCGGACCCAGCCCCGGACGTCGCCCGCTAACTTTGAGCCCCAACCCCTCGCGGCCCGAGGAGAGTTTCTGCTGAAAGGCCGAGGCAAGGCGGCCGCGAGCCGAGCGAACAGGCTAGAATCGCCCCCGGCTCAATCTTCCCCCAGGTTTGTTTGCAAGTGGCGAGAAGCAGCGATCGCCCCTCTCTCTCTCCTCGGACTATTGTTGCATTTCGCGTCTAACTGGGTTCTCTCACACCCCCGAGCGCCAAGAGGAGGAGGGGGAGTGGGGCTGGGAAAAGAAATAAAGCGAGCTCAGATCAGATGGGGGGAAAAAAAAATCCAGCAAGGAAAAAGAGACACTTAAAGGGAAAGAGTCGCCATGTTTAGCAGCTTTTTAAGGGGGAGTGGGGCTGGGAAAAGAAATAAAGCGAGCTCAGATCAGATGGGGGGAAAAAAAAAATCCAGCAAGGAAAAAGAGACACTTAAAGGGAAAGAGTCGCCATGTTTAGCAGCTTTTTTAAAGATCTCGTCAATTTCACACAGAACGCACTCGCTGGGTCCCAGCCCTCGTCTTTTGTCCAATTCAGTCGCAGCAAAGATCTTTTGTTCTAACTCAGCGTGAAAAGAAAAACTTTCTTTAAATGCAATAAACTTAAACCAAACTGAAGACTCTAAACAGATCCTCCTCCGGCCACTCTACACATATACAAGGGGGTTTGTTTTAACCGGTGGAAAAATTTTGGGTCCTGTTTTTCTGCCTCGCAGACCCACTTACTGCTGAAACTTAGAGTGAGAGAGAGATTTCCAATGTCTAGGACACATGCTTAAAGCATAATAAAACAGGGACTGTCTTTTGCTTTGAAAATCATAAATTATAATTTAATGCCAATAATAATTTACAACAAATGGCTGTTTACAATAAACTAACACAAAACAAACAAGGAAAAGGGCCTGTGTTTTACTTATTAGAGAAACTTCACACACTCACATGGATAGCACTTGCAAGAGGAGAAAATAAACAACAACCGACAAAACCTCGAACTTAAAGGTCAGCGATACTGTGCACTAAGAGCTTACTTATATTTATATACGTATATATCTACAGAAAGAGAGGGTCAGATGGAGAACTCTGCTCAAATGCACAAATCAGACAGATTTTTCTGATCTGCATGTATTGACTGGAACTGAATATCAAAGTTTAACACAGTTTATAAAATGATCCTTTTACTTTCACCTCCCTCGCCAGTCCTCCCTTTCAAAATTAAACCACAACCAGAAGTATTTTGATGTTGAAGTATTTGGATGGGGAGGGAAAAGACTCAAGAAGAACAAAATTGCAAGCTCCCAGCACTGAGCTTCCTCCAAACCAGGAAAAGAGAAAAGGGGGGAGGGAGGCTCCGAAACAAATAGTTACTACTTCCAAATTAGCACACCCTGTAAAGTTTCCTTCCTTCTTTCTTTCTCTCTCTTCTTTTTCTTAATTTGGCTTCTAAGGACAAAGGATTCCAAGAGCAGTACAGATTGTATCTACACAATCTGAAATGTCAAAATGTCGATGTGTTTTTATGTACATAATTCCAATGGAAAAGATTCCCTTGACCTGTGGTCATGCTCTCACAGACTGAAGGTAAGGGGGGGGGGAGGGGAGAGGCAGCCCAACTGCAAGTTATCATATGTACATTAAAAACAACCCCTTCAGAGCTATAACCTATATGACTGGATTTGAAATCCTCTCAACAACCACACGAGATGAGAACCACAGAATATATATATATTTTTTAAATCACACCTATTTAAGGAAAAACTCATGGCAAACAGCTGCCCTGTATTTACAATGCTGTGATTAGCTTGCTTGAACAATCTTCTGCATAACTGTCAGAAATGTACAAAAGAGTATTTTTTTCTGATCATAAAATAGATACTGATCTCAAGATTTCTAATACTTTTCACAATACCTTCCCTAAGCAGGCACTTAAGTGTGACAAATATAAGGGCCTTTTTTTTCCTGGAAAATCCATTTTTAATTAAAAGGAGGATTAGGTGAATTGGGGTGGTTTACTATATCAGTATGGCACTTCCTAAACCATAGATAAACCATTAACTTCAGCTTCCCTCCCCCCCACCCAAATTAAAGAGGCAAATACACTAGTCCACCTTTGAGCAAACTGACTGAGAGGAGTAAACAAATGCAGCCCCCAGCCCGGCTCACGAGAGCTCACAGGGGCTCTTCTCGATGGAAAGACAGTGAGTGGGGACAGCCAAACAGATTTCAGATATCAAATAATATTTTAATTTCTGAATACTTTCAATTTTCCTTGGAATATAACACACAAAGACTCGACCAAACAGTTCAGTTATTATAACTTTTACAGTATACAGAAATGTTGCACTTAAAAAAAAAACCTTCAGTTTTTTTTAAAACACAAACTGTAAACTCTAAGATACTGAATCAATCACGTTACCTATAAGTGCCAACAGTGTTATTTTGTCATGCTGATTTCAATGGTATTTTTTTTAAAAAGGGAAAATATCAACAATTATAATACAAAGGGTTTGCAAATATACAAACAGATATAGGATTTTCATAACAATTCAAGAACTAAGCGGGACCCAATTCGAATTACAAAAGTTCACTTTTTATTCAAAACCTCAGCATGTGTCTTGGACACATTCCTTGGCTGCCAATAAATTCCACAGTTCATTCTCTTTCTTAAAATATTTTTAAAAAGCTAGGTTTGTCATGGTGTCTTGTGGGGGGGGGGCAGGGTAGGGGAAGTTAAATGTTGTATGTGGTTCCTCCAGTTCTCTAATTAGAGTGCTCAACTTCACCTAAAATTTTTGGTCACCACTTGTAAGTGCGTTTCCATTATCTTTGAGTTGCCTTTTAAAGTTTTATGTCTTCCTATGATATTTTCATGGACTCAGTTTTAATTCTTGCAGAACATATATTTAATGATACACAGTTTTTAAGAAGCCAAGATTATATCAAAACTTATTATAGAACCACAGAATAAACTGGTTTGGAACCAGAAAAGTACAAAAAAGAACAGCTAGAGGTACATAGACACAGGACAATTAATAATTTGGAAAAAAAAAAAAAGACTTACTTTCTCCATTCTGCTAATTTTCTCCCAATCTCCTTAAATGCACTTTTAGCAATATTTTTCAAAAATTTACCAAAAAAAGAAAAAGACTAATTTCCTTTTTATACAAAAATGATAAGTAGCAAGTTGTTCTGACCGACACAGGAGTTTTTTTTTTTTTTTTAATGCATTCTGTAAAAGTTCATTTGACAGTCTTTTTTTTTTTTTTTTGAAATTCACAGTCCATTAAATTCTTCCCTCTCTTCTTTTAGCAAACTTGTAACATCCTTTTATATCCTTTCTTAACAGAAGGAAATTAAGCAAACAAACCAGTCTTTTGCCTTTTCTTTCTCTGTTTCACTCCCCCTTCTTATTTTGATTTATTTATTTATTGAATTGCCATATACGGCCAGTTAAAACTGCTGCCGGACAGTAACATATCCCGGATGAGGGTTTCGATGGGGGTTTTACCTACCAAACGGACGAAAAACAATTGCTCTATGACTGAGGAGGAGACCGTGCGGAGGGAAGGGAGGCGAAGCAAAAGCTTTCCGAATCGCGTTGGCTGGTTGGGGTACTGGCTCCTAACGTATTCTTCCAAAGCACACTGGGATTTTTCCTGCAAGCTTTCCACATGGGCTACATCAGAGAGACCACAGGCATCTGGAAGAAAGTTTAAAAAAAAAAAAAAGAAGAAGAAGAATTCAGTCATCAGATTAAGAGGTTTGAAATGGGTCACATGAGGTGTGTGCACAGTGCTCTGTCAAACTGCCCCAACCGGAGTTGGAGCAAATGCCTATGTACTGAAAACTTAAGGGGGGTTGGTGACAAAGAGCATGAGATGGTCCCAGAGTGTTTGCTTTAAAATAAAACACAGCTCAGTGTGCTACAGGCTTTCACTGCTCCCAGTCCCCAGGCTGGGTCACTGAGAGGCCCAAGCAGAAGTGCAGTGGGTCTATCTGGCCCAAGTCAGTAAACAGATGAAACCAAATGCGCCAGCACTCCTCCCCTCCTCCTCTGTAAATAATAGTTTGGGTTATAATTATATAGTCATGGTGGGGGCCAACAACCTGGCCCAGCCCCGAGTAATGGCGTCCACGACCCAGCCTCAGATTCTCCCCAAAGAGGGCGACTCATTTTTCTCCAGTCTTTGAAACTGATTTAAGTGGCCCTTTAAAACTGATCTTGTCAGTTTAGCCTATTGAAGGGCAGCCATGCAAACTGTGATCTCTCTGTTCATTTGAGCTGTTTCTTTTCCCCCTTTTCTTCTCTCTCCCTTTCTCTTCCACCCCCCTTTATTTTTTTAAACCCAGGTCCCTCCAAGAAGCAACCCCCCTCCCTGTTATCTTCAGGAAAACACTTTTCTTTTTCTGATATGTGAAAATACAATAAGTGCCTTTGAAATGAGAGACTTCTTGGTGAAGGCGGTTCAGGTTGTGACCTGACCTTTCGGGGCTCCCCAGACAAGACTGGGGTTAACACATGCATATTGTGAATCATTAAAACAGATATTCAAAAACAACCACCACCACCTCCACCCCAAGAACCAGAACACACATGCAATCCCCTCATGTGTGTGTCTAGGACTCTGCATGTCTACAGAATACATAGGTGTCTGTAGTCAGGAATTGAAAGATCTGTTTGCATAGGACTCCTTCCCTCGGCATGGCATCAGTAGTGTGTGTTTCCATCTGAATCAGATAACAAGAACCTTTATCTCTTTGTGAGGCGATTTGCATTCTCCACACAGGCCTCCACATTTTGCAAAAAGTAATAAACTGTTAGGACAGTATCACACAATTCTTTCCTTGAAAGACCAAGGGTGAGAACCTTTATCTCTTTGTGAGGCGATTTGCATTCTCCACACAGGCCTCCACATTTTGCAAACAGTAATAAACTGTTAGGACAGTATCACACAATTCTTTCCTTGAAAGACCAAGGGTAAGATTGAGAGCTAACAATGATACCAAGAAATTAACCACCACCCCCATCATCTGAGAACATGGGCTGGGTGTTGGGTTATAGGATAGGAATGAAGGTGGCTTTGGGGAAAGGGAATATCCTGCCTGTGTATTTGAATCAGGCAAACGTTCTAGGTATGATAGGCTCAAGAGAAAAATAATCCAGATCCAAGCCTCTGCATACAGCTCTTCCCTGCCCTGACACTGCCCTCTAACTGATTACCTAAGGACTTTGGAAAGCAGAATTTGGGGTGGCCGTTGGGGGACATTTTATGTGAAAAGCAGCAATGTATGAAAGAGAGCAGGTTGAGGACTTGGAACCTGCAACAGACTCAGTGAATGACTTGGTTCCCCAGACTTCTTTCAAACAATGAGGAAGAAATTGTGGTCCTCCTTTTTGTTTGCCACATAAACTGCACATCTATCCTGGTTTCCTGACTAAAAGCTTACAAATTTGTAGTTGGTGACTAGGTTCCAAGGTCTGTTAATGTCTAAATGTTTGTTATTCTTAATCAGGAACCCCTTTCCCCTTTCAGCCATGACAAAGGGATCAGCTGACAACTTAGTACAAGAATGTGAAGGGGGAGTGATTTCCACCGACCTGAACTCAGCCTGGAGGCAGCCAAAAGACTCAGGTGTGGCCCGAAATGGAAAGCCAGACACTTTCAAAAATCATTTGGCCTCAAGAGTTAATTAATATCAGATCTATTACTCACACAGGTTAAACTACATGCAAACTAATTAGATTTCATAATACAGTCAATAATGGTTTTATACCCCCAGCAACATTCATATCCAGCCCAAGTTGGCATACACATGGAGTTGTTTGAAAATTGCCTTGTTTGCCTGGGCAGGAGAAGCAAGAGGCCAGTTTTTAAACTCTTGCAGAATTCTGAAGAGTTATGATGGTCCCTTTCCTCCTCTTGCCCCTTCCTGACAGCTCCTTTCCCCTTTCCTGGTGGTCTACATTATTTTAATAAGAATGATTTTGAAAACTGCCTCCCTCAGGTTGGATTTGCCTGGAGCTCCAACTCCTCCTGAGTTAGCAGACAAACTTTTTCCCTGCAGGAACAAACCTTCCCCTGAAGGGATAATGCCAGGGCTGCTCCAGTGCCCAGGGGCATCTCCTAGAGGCCCAGCCAGGGTGCCAGAGAAAGCCAGGGGGTTGAAGAAGTTCCCCAGGGCACAGCAGACCCAGAGAGCCTGGGTTGGGGGGTGGGGAGCAGGAGAATACATCCCAGTCTGCCTACTGCAGGAGGGGAATAGGCCTGAGAGGCTGCCCTATGGCCCATTTGGGGAGTCTGTGTCTGAAGCATCCTTTCTGCAACCCAACTTTCCTCTCCTCTCCCCAGGACAGGCCTGGTGATGCCCAGCAGCTATACAGAATTCTCACTTCAAGTTGCTCTCAACAGTTTGGCCTTTCAAGGGGGAGGTTGGGCTTACCCTGGGGACTCCCAAGTTCTCTGGGCCCTAACTCTAGGCTAGGAGCCCTTGGACATCAGAAGACAGGCCTTCTTCCTACCTGAGGTGAACAGGACTATGGCCTTGAGGCAGCTGTACTCGGCCGAGTCGACGTGCAGTGCCTTGAGCTTCTCCACTTGCTCTTGGAAGATCCGTATGTGGTCCATAAAGGCGACCACCCGGTCGGCGGACATGGGCGAGGCGTGCAGGCCGGCGGCGGCCAGGAGGGGAGCGACGTGGAGGGGCATGGAGCACTGCGCCGCATTCAACACAAACAGCTCGCTCCAGGTGAGGCGAAGCAGGGCCACCTGGTCCGTGATCTGCAGGTCAGGGAAGAAGGGGATGTTCCGGGCCCACTCGACGGCGCTGAAGAGCATCCGCGCAGCCAGTTCGCAAATGTTCTCGATGCCCATGATGTTGTTGGGCTGCATGCACTGACTGCCGAAGCGCGACGTGGGATAGGGCTCGGCGCGCAGCAGCAGGGAAATATATCCGGACAGGTACGAGTGGCAGTTGAGGGGGTCCCCGTTGGTCAGCGCGAACTGCCCGTGGGTCGGCTGGGTGGGCGGCATCCTGCCCCTCTGCACCGCTGCGGGGAGGAAAGGAGACACTCCGCAATTAATGACCAGCCTCGGTCCACAGGTCCCCCGGCAGTGTCTGCCCCAGCCCGACCCCCACCTGCCCCAGGCCGTGAACAGCGCAAAAACCAGACAGGCCTGCCCCAGACCCGGGGGTCGCCGGGCGTCCGGCACCCGTCCTCTCAAACCACCACCCAGGCAAGCTCTGATGGCCAGAGCGGCACACTTGCCTCCGAGGCCCGCTCGGGGCTGGTCGGCCGAGGACCCAGAATTAGCCACTTTGCCTCGGGGTCCCCAGTGCTGTGGGCGGGATGGAGCATTCTGAGGGCATCTTTCTTCTTTACTGCTAAACAGCTGATATTTCTTATTGATTGGAGGAGAGGGAGCGGGAGGGGCGAGTCTGGGGGGAGGGCGAGGACGCTTTTGCAAAAGACACAAGGTTCACCCCAGACGGCCCGTGGCCACCTCGGAACGACACTTCCCCAAACCCCGCAGCCCCAGCCCCAGCCGGGCGGGGAACCCCGGGTGAGAGAGGAGCAGAGAGCCGTGACCTGGCGTCTGCCTAATCACTGTGCTCTTGCTCGGAGAAAGAGAGACAGAGGGAGAGGGCGGAGAGAGAGGCCGGCTGAGGCGAGAGGAAGCCGGGGAGAGGCAGGGAGCAGGCGGCCGGCGCCGGCGGAGCCCGGGCAGGGCCCGTGAGGGCCGTGGAAAGCCGGTGAGGCTTGGGCTCCGGCTGTTATCCGACTCCGAACCGGGAGAGTCGCTCTCGCAGAAACACAAAGAAACCCCGGCTTTGGCTCGCCCCAACCCGGAGCCCGCGCCCCGCGCCGAGCGCGCCATTGGCAGAACACGGCTCGCGGCGCTCGGCGAATTTTATATCACAAAGACCCAACTCGCCCAGAGCGAAAGCAGCCGCAAAGGGCCCCTCGCCCATCCTTTCCTACTCCCTATCGTGCTGCTCTCCTCGTTTCAAAAGTGAAAGGAAAAAAGAAAACAGAGGTATTTTTTTTTTTTTTTTTAGCAGAATGTTAATCCACGGAGGATCACATGAGCGCTGCCCGGGCGGCAGCGTTAATACGGCGAAGTGCATAAAATTGCTATTTGTAATTTGAACCTCCTGTACAAAAGTACAATCTCAGGTTGGTTTCTTTTTTTTTTTTTTTTTTGAGAGGGTGGGGGTTGGGAAGAGGGGAGGGGAGGAGGGACATATGTTGAACATGCAGGAAAAACAAGGAGAGAGAGAGAAGTAAACCAGGCTTTAAAACAACAACAACAACAAACACTACCCCATCCCTTGCAGAAAGGCGAACTCGAATGAACTCGCAATCAATGCAAAGAAAATGAAAACAGCCCGAAGAGAGAGTAGAGAAGGAAATCAGTCGGCCAAGCATGCGGATTTGGGGGTCTGGATTCCACTGCAGAACTCGCTGTTAGTATAAACCCCCTTTTGGCTGCAATACGAAGAGAAGAGCTTGGGGCTTCTGTGTCCTTACCCAGAGCAGGCTAGCCAAACGCACCCAGAGCCCCGGGACCCCGGGCGAGGGGGGGAGAAATGAGAGGCCGATACCTTCCCGTCTCATGCCCACTTTGAGGCACTTTTTGAGGCGGCAGTACTGGCACTGGTTGCGGTGGTGCTGGTCGATGGGACAGTTCCGGTTGGCGCGGCACGTGTAGCTCAGGTTCCTCCGCACGCTGCGCTTGAAGAAGCTCTTGCAGCCCTCGCACGTGAACTGGCCGTAGTGCTTGCCGCTCCGGCGCGCCGCCTTTTGTGTGTGCGAGGGTGCGAGAGGGCGCGGGAGGGCGCCCCGGGTGGCTCGGGGGGCTGGTTGCTTGAGGTTGGTTAGTTTTTCCTTTTTTGTTTTTGCTTTTGCAAAGTTTTGTCGGTTGCTTGTCTGGCCCGGTGTATTTGTTTTGTTTGTTTCTCTCGGCTCAGCTTTGTTGGTTTCGGGGGGCTTTCCGCAGGGAGGGGAGGGGTAGGGGACAGGAGAGCGAGTGGTAGAAGAACGTGGAGAGAGAGGGAGGGGAGGGAGAGCTGCAAGTCGATTGTCTGGCTTCAAGACAGAAGTAAGAGGCAAAAAAAAAAAAAAATCTTTCCAAAGATCTCGCTCGCTCTCACTCTCTCCCTCCCTCTCTCGTTCACTCTCTCGCTCTCAGGGCTGGTGTGCAGCCGAGGAGTTGCAGGAGGAGGAGGAGGAGGTGGTGGTGGTGGAGGAGGAGGAGGAGGAGAGGCGACTGTCCGGGGGCCAAGTCCAGGGCAGCCCACAGTCAGCCATTCAGGAAAGCCATCGAAATCAGGAGGACTAAGAGAGCAGAGGCGCCGGGCACGGGCGCGCCCAGGGATCTGGGCAGGCCGGGGCGGAGGCCGGCGGCCCGCGGAGTGGCCGGAGCGCTGCCCGGGTCCGGGGGAATCAGCATGAAAGTGGTCCGCGTCGGGCGCTGCGCGGCGTCGTCCTGGCGCTGGGCCGCCGCCGCCGCCTGCC